CCTTGGACTTAGATCTAGGAAGACACAGAAGCCCAGAGAGGGCAAATCCCTTGCCTAGGTCACACAGCCAATTAGCTTCAGAGCTGAGATTGGATTGCAGGCCAGGTAGGAGACTGAACTTGAGGACTCTGGTTTACTCTCATCACTCTCCTGCCCTCCCCACCCCCAACCTCTCTTATATGACACTTGACATTATCCATCACTCCCTCCCTCTGGGAACGCCCTCCTCCTCCAGTTTCCATGGCAGCACATCTCCCCGTCCTCCTCCAGCTTCTCACTCTCCACAGTGGCTCCTGAGCCTAGAGGGATCCCTAGGCTGGGTCCCCAGTCTCTTCTCCTATTACTGCCCTGGATGCTCATCTACTTTTCCTCTAGGTCTCTAGCTCTGACCTTGCACTGCAGGTCCTCTTGTAATTAATAACAGTGACTAACCATGTGCTAAGAGCCTACTTATGCCCTGGACCCTATACAGCAGCTCCCCAAATGATGTCCTTTCCTTCAGCATCGATTCATTATAACAGTGATGAGAAAAGAATGGATTCCCAGCTGAGGCCCGTCTGGGGTTTGCATGTTCTCTCCTTGTCTGTGTGGGGGTTTTCTGGATACTCTAGCTTCCTCCCACATTCTAAAGGTGTGCACGTGAGGTGAATTGACACGTCTAAATTATGAGAGAGAGAGAGAGAGAGAGAGAGAGGGAGGGAGGGAGAGATATGTGACCTGTGATGGGAGAACATCCTGTCCACCTTGCACCATGAGCTGCCTGGAGAGGCTGTGGCCACCTGTGATCCTGAACTAGAATAAGGGAGTCGGAAAATAATCATCTTACTTTTTTTACTCTTTCTCAAATGTATGTATAGCTCACATTGACTTTGATGTTTAATATTAGAAGCATTTGGGGTCTTTATTTAGAAACTAGAGGCCCAGTGCACGAAATTTGTGCATGGGTAGGGTCCCTAGCGGCTGCCGGCTGGGGCCTCCCTTCCCCCCTGCTGCCTGCCACCGCCGCCAGCCTGGGCCTCCCTTCCCATGGTTGGCTGGCTGGCCCCACCCCCTGACCAAACTCCTGGTCAAACTCCCGGTTGAGGGGACAATTCGAATATTAGGCTTTTATTATATAGGACAGTGTGATGTTTTTGTGGCCAGAAATATCCTGTAGGAATTTAACTCTTGCTTATATCAATTAGCCTATGTAAAATGGTTTTGTTATACATCATGTCACTTAAAGTTGCACTTTCCAAGAAACTAGAGATGAAGTTAAGGGAGGACTTGCTGTACATTAACTCATCAAATCCTCACAGCCCCATGAAAGAAGTTTATTCTACAGATGAGGAAACAGAGGCACAGAAAGGGAAAGCCAAGATCTGACTCCAGCCTCAACCACTACTTCTATTACAAGAGATCTGAAATTGTAGGAGACAATAATTTCCTTCCCTCCCACCTCCTGAAGAGAGAGGAATGGGAATTTGGGGAAAATGAGATCTACTCTAGTTTGAGAGCTCTGTGATGCTCTAGAATTACACTGTTAATTTGGAGCTTTAAAATGCATCATGTTCAGTACATTTTATATTTTAAAATATTTTTATTGATTCAGAGAGGAAGGGGGAGGGAGAGAGAGATAGAAACATCAATGATGAGAGAGAATCATCGATTGGCTGCCTCCTGCAGGCCCCCTACCAGGGATTGAGCCCACCACCCGGGCATGTGCCCCTGACTGGAATCGAACCCAGGACCCTTCAGTCTGCAGGCCGATGCTCCATCCACTGAGCCAAACCAGGTAGGGCTCCAGAACATTGTAAAATGTGAAGAGTTAGAGCGCCAGGTGGAACAAAAGTTCATGGAAAATTGCCCTTTTCCTTCAAGTCTTTCCGTTTGGTTTTAAGTCTTCAAAACCTCATCCCAGGGTTCTACAGCTCTTCTACTTCAATGATGTCTGGAATTCATCATTAAATTCCTGGAAACTGGACCCTGGAATTCCACTGACCTGAGTTCCGCTACCACTAACAAGCTCTGTGACTTAGGGTGAGTGGCTGGACCTCTCTGAGCCTGACTTCTTGTCTAAAATAAGGGTAATAGTACGACTCCCACCATGTCCCCCCAGGAATGTCATCAGACACGTTCGGTTAAGCCCCACGCTCCAGCTGCACACAACTTCTCAGGTTTGCCAAGCACTGGAACATCTCCCTGATTTTGCACACGCTGTTCCCTCTTCTTAGGGGCCAACTCCTAGTCATGCATCAAGGCCCTCTGACCCTTTCCCACCTCTTTCAGAATTGCTACAAATCTGTTTCCGTGCAAAGCTAGAAAAGGTAGTTCCCTGTGACACCCTCCCAGGGCTCCCTGTGGCTACACACATCACAGGGAGATGCAATCATCGCTTATGCTTTGTCTCCAGCACGGGCTCAAACTCTCTGAGGGCAGGGCAGTACCTGACTCATTTCCAAGTCCCAGTGCCCAGCGTGCTCACAGCCTGGCATGGCATACATTTCCATACAAATTTGTTTTCCCTTAAATGCACATGGTCTGGACCCAGCCCCTGCTGACCCCAGGACAAATTTATGTATGAGAAGTAGTAAAAGGGAGCCAGTCTGTTGTAGCCACAGAAAACGGTAGTGGACAGAACTGGGGCAACCTTGAGCAGCCTGTTCTAGGAGGAATTAAAGGGGACATGTCGATTGCAAGGAAAAGAAACAGACTTGGTCCCAACATCACCCCCTTCAGGAGTCTTCCCTGGTTCCTAAATGGTCTGCTCCCCCTGACATCTCCCCAAGGCATTCACAGGAGGGGTCCCAGGGGATGAGGAGTGTCCAGGAGTGCCCCCACCTTGCTGATACCCACCCCCATTCAGACACAGAGACCCCATGGTCTCAGGCTCCATTTGAAGAGTGAAAGTGAGCAGGGATCCCAGACCTCGGTAACTTAGCAGAGGGTCTGAGTGCTGGGCACAGCCCCGCATCTTCCCAAGGCACTAGGGGAGCCTCTCTCGGAAGAAGAAAAGTCCCAGGTCTGCAGCTTCCGGGGACCTCGCCCTGAGAAGGGGACTGTGCTTTGCCCACCAAGGGTATCCCTGCTCCTAACGTGCCCAAAGCCCATCCTGGTGCCTCAGCCCCCACCTTGCTGAATGCCAGTTCAGCCCCTGCTGAGTGACAGCCTCCCAGACAGGGAAAGGCTTTTGTTCCAAGGAAATGGCTGTCAAAGGGAGAAGAGGTACATTGTTTCTTTTCTTTTTCCCCCCCTTTTATTTCTTTTTCCGCTTGTGACAGACGTCAATTTCTTGCCATCTGTCCCCCAAAGGAAAGATGATTAAATGTTTTTACAAGGATGTCAGAACACTGCTTCAATAGGGAGCCAGGGTGCTTGACTGAGGCTGCGCATGTGTGAGGAAGGGGAAAGCCGGGGGTGGGGGAGACAAAGCAAGGGGAGGCCAGGGACCAAGGACAGACCCTGGTACTGAGGGAAGCAAAGATCTGGGCTCGCCTCAATAAAATGCCCAACAAATGAAATGAAATACTCTGCCTAGCTCTGGGTGCACCCGCCTCTCAGCAGCTTGAAGGGGGCAGCGAGAGCAGGTGGGGGACCTGGGGGTCCAGGGAAAAGGCAGAGGGGAGCATGTACTGACAGGAGCATTGCAGTTATAAAGGCCTTTCCCCCCAGTTCCTTCAGAGTCCGGTCCCCACATGGGCCGTTCCAGCTTTCCGGGAACAATGGACACAGTGGGGGCAGCCAGGTGTTGGGAGAAAGAGGAATTCTCGGAGCTTCTTCTCAGGAGCCCCGGCCCGGGAGCAGGGGGCAGGGCAGTCTGCGCTGGTGCTTCAGATGCCCACCCAGTCCCAGGGGCACTTACCCTCCACGGAGCTCTGACCCCCAGTCCCCTGTCCTGCAGCACCTGGGCCAGAAAAGCCAGGGTCCTGGGGAACCCCCAACGGCATCTGTCCACTGGCTTCAGGACCTAACCTCAAAGCCGAACCAGCAGCACCACCGCCTCCACTTCCTGCCTCAGCCCACCCACCACCACCCCTTGGCACTGAGACCAACCAGCAGCTTCGGTTTTGGAACGGAAGCCGCGAAGCCTCCTTGCTCCTTCTGAGCCCCGTTAGGGACTCGGGCTGAGGAGTCAACCCCAACCGGGGCCGGTTCCGCTACCCTATCCTGGAGGCACCCACTGAGGTGCGGCGCTGGGGACACTACCTCCATGCTGAGGCACCCTGCCCATCCCCAGGAAACGACGGTCAAGGAGCGAGAAGGTACGTTTTTTTCTCTCCCTCTCTATTTTTCTCTTCTTTTTATTTATAGAGAAGGCAAGTTGGACCTGAACCTGGGCAAGCCCGGCCTTGAGCCCAATCTCCTGCTAGAACTCAGGGCTGGGCCTCTCGCCCAAAGTTGAGGCCCCTGTCCCCTGCACACAGGGCCTATCTCTGAGGCCCAATCTTGAGCAGTAGCTACGCCTCCCAGTCCTGTCCTTGCGTTGGGTCCGAGAAGAGGCCCCTCCTCGCTACACAGAAGCCCGATCTTGCAGCTCAATTCTCAAGCCACTGTCCCCACCACTGCCCCATGCGCCCTGGCCGGGCATCTTCAGGGCTCAGTCCGCATCCTCACTGGCAAGCCCAGCTCAGGGTTGGAACGTGAAGCTCTCCCCACGGTAGAGGCCCTATTTATCCGCCCAGGTCTAGAGCCACAGGTCCTACTCCCTAGGAGTCGGCAGCTCCTCCACCCAGAGCCTTTGACCAGGCCCTCAGTCCAGAGGCAAAGCCCACTGCCCGGCCCTCTGCCCCGCCCCAGAGGTCCACCCACCGCAGGGGCCCCATCTCTGGGCCCCTGGCTCATCTCATGCCCGGGTCTGTTTTTCAAAACAGAGGCCCCCTTTCTCCTCCTGCGGCGCCCTGGCCCCCACCCCCCTTAGCACTCGGGGTGACCGCCAGGTCACTCCGGAGGGGCGCGCGGTGGGCCAGCCGGGCCTGGTCAG